CTCCCCAAGGGCTGGTGGAAGGAGAAATGATGTCGGCGGCCAACATGTCATCAACAGCCGATTTGACATGGTCCTTTTCGGCGGGACTCAACCGAAACGGATTTTGGCGAATTGGCGCGCTGTCACCCGTGTCAATATGGTGACGCAGCAGGTGAGTACAACCCAAATCGTATTTATTCCGACTAAAAACGTCGGAAAATTCCCGCAGTAGTGTTTTAAGTTGTTGACGCTCTGAATCTGACAGGTCCGTCGATCCCGCACAAAGCGCCTCGAGCCACCCTTCATCGCTGTCTGAATGCGGTCGCGGCGCAGGGACAACGCTGACGTGATTTGCGACGGGTTCCTCACATGGCACCGGCGTTGCGTGAGCAAGCACGGTCCCCTGTGGGACCACCACCGTCTGCGAGCCCACATTGAGGACCGCGATGAAGGGTTCACCGTCCCCTCTTACTATGGTCTGGGCCGGAAGTAAATGAGGTCCACTAACCCCGGCCCTAGACGGCCCCAGCAGAACCCCTTGGGCCCCAACACCCTTAGCGAAGGGCCGCCGAAGTTTCAAGGGAATCAACATTTGCGCCCCCGGAGGTACGCGCACCGTTCTCTCTACGAATGCCGGCACCGTCGCGAACGCCGTCCGAGTCATAACAGGCGATGGCAGAAACGCCATGCGTCTGCCCGACGGGAGTTCAATACATCCCTGGTCGATCAATATCCTAATCGGCATTTTGGCCAGGAAGTCCGTCCCCAGCAGGCACGGAACCGCCAGCGAGGAGGAAACAAAAATCGGCCCAGACAATTTAATATCCCCAATACAAATTTGGGCACGAATTTGTCCGATGATGCCAAGTGAGCCCCCGTTAGCCGCATAGAATGGTACGTTAACAGGCATCAAAGGACGACTCCGGACAGGGAGAATATTGTAAATCAACTCCGAAATAATGGTCGCCGATGCTCCCGTATCGACCAGGATGCGCACTTCAACCCCGTCGATGTGCCCCACAACGGCCGACGACCCCGACGATGCGGCTACCACACAATCGGCCAGCACGGACCACTGGCCGGGTTCGATATGAGTACCCGGGGTGGTGCGTGATGGTGCGATGGTGCGCGATATCGGCCCCCCTCTCGTTGCGGTGTTTGAGTGCGTGACGGGTGTGTGCGTGGGCCAAACATGTGGGGTGCCGCGACTCGCCGGGTTATGATGGTGGAGCTTGTGATGAGGCCCGTCGTCCCGTTGAGGTGTCGTCCCGCGCTGTCGAGGAGCGCGGCACCCCGAGGCGACGTGGCCCCGGACGCCGCAGTTGAAACACCGCGGGAGCGCCGTTGGAGGAGACGGATGGTTGAAACGGCCCGGCCCGTCCCGGCCCGACCGTGCTCCTGTCGCCTGTTGCGGTCGGTGGTCGACGGCGTAGAGCTCCTTCGTCGGAATGGTGGCTGCAGCCACCGCACGCCCCGCCGATGCCCTGCTGGCTTTCCGCCGCAGTGACAGGAGGTTGGCGTGGAGGAGCCGCGCCGCCTGGAGCGATGTCATCTCCTCGTCCTCCCGGGCGACGACCGCGATGTCAAGGTCGTCTGCCAGGAGGAGGATCTTCTCCGTGACCATCGCGTCCACGCCGTCGTCGTCCATACGAGGGAAGGCCGACTTAGCCATCGCCAGGAGGCTCGTCCGATATGCTAGGGGCGACTCCTTCTCACCCCGCTTGCGGTCGTAAAATTGCTGTCGGCATTCAGCCGATGGTCCATAGACCCCGCCCAGCAGCTGTAGTGCCATCGGTAACGTAGACCGCTTCTCTCTCGGCGCCGATGTGAGGGCGGCGAGCGCGTCGCCGTCGAGGAGCGCCGGCAGCGCGCAGAGAGCCTCCTCATCGGACCATTTCGCCATCTCCTGATGAGCGAGGAAACGTCGGCGAAAACCGGCCCAGTCCCCCTCCGCGCCGATGAACTCCTTCAGCGGGGGCAGTCTCTGATGAAGCGCAGCGGTCGTTGTGGACTCCCGCAGGCTGATGTCACCACCACTCGGCTGTGCGTCGGTGCGAACGGCCGATGGGATCGCCTGTCGCGCTTGTGATGACGTTGCAGCTTCAGCGACGGCGATGTCGGAGCAGATGTCTAGGCTGGCCACGCCCCGAACAGCTGTAGCGTCGATGGCGGGAATTTCAAATTCGGACTGCTCCGAAATGGCGGGAAGGCGCCCTGGTCGTTGGCTCGCCTCGCTCCGTGTTGGATCACCGGCCCCTAGTCGCGTGATGGTCTCCAGCGTGGCGGCAGCGGCATACAGCAGCTCCGCCAGCCTCCCGTGAGCCAGCCGTAACGCGTCTGGCTGCGGCCCCTCTTCATTTCGATGCCCCGGTAAGGAGGCGTCAGGCCCCGGCTGCACCTTGTCTTGTGGAGCCGTCTCGGGCTCGACGATCTCGGCAGTGTCTTCCTCCTGCGGTACTTTGGCCCGCGCTGTTTTCCGCGTGTCCATGTTCGAATTACTTCTGACACCAGTTGAAGTACCGGTGAAGACGCTTGACGCCGAGGTTGAGGCACACGTATATTTATTTCACAATACGACAGTGGGCATATACACACTCGAGGGGGTATCGGCCCCCTCACCCGTATAACTCGGGATACACCTCTAGCTAACTCTGTCCTAGCCCCGAATCCTCCACTAATGGGCTAGAGGAGGCTAACTGGCCCGACACTGGTAAGTCGGGCCCGGTACCCGGAGTTCCAGACCAGCTCTTACAAGAGCACCGGCTCTGGCTTCCGGGACCACGCCGCTGGCTCAGTCCTGTCCGGCCCTGAAAAGGACATCGAACTAGGGGAGTCCAGGGCTCTATCTAAGACGTCTTCAGTCTTCTTCCCTTAGCTTAAACATAACTGCCTCGAGCCCTTTGAACATCCCCTTTTATACCCAACCCCTCCCTGAGGGGTGGGGCCCCGGGGGATCATAACGTTCGAACCAGCCCCCCCCAGGGTGTCTGGCTCGGACGTCGTAGAGGGCACCTCCTCGTGCACTTACATAGCCCCGCCCACGGTGTTTGTTTTCCATAGGCTGCCATGCATAACGGGCCCTCTCTTTAACACCCCTACATATATAAACAATGTCAGTATCAGTTTCTCAGTTGCAATATATGTGAAATAAACGAGCGCATGGCTGTTTGTAGACCGCTTGACTAGAAGCTGGCCCTTGTTATTGGAAAACATAAAATAATATATATGAGCGATAGAGCCGGAGAGCCACCATCTCTGTTCCATGATGTTTACACATGTATGTTGAACTTCTTTCGCAACATACGTAGCCAACCGCATTAATCGGAGGTGCGGGGGAAGGAAACAAACTAACCCGAAATAGCCAGTTCTCAAGAAAGAATGTTTCAATATCGATGGTTTAAAAGTGTGCGTAGCCCCAGTGGCTTCCTAATATCGGAAAGAAGAGCGTTCCAGACGGTCGCAGAATCGCATCTAAAAGCGTAACCATCTTTGTTCCATGGTTAGCCAAAAGCTGCTGCTGTGAGGATGACCAGAGTTCACATGATGGTGGTTTATGCTCCTTGACGAGATCAGCGAGGTATTGTGGTTGACTTGTGGCAAGCACTTTGTGTGTAATGGAGTGCGACCTTATCATCTATTCGTTTGGCAACCGGAAGACATCTAACTGTAGGATATGTCTTAGTGCAATCAAAGGGACAAATTTTGGTGAAACATGTAGAAGTCGCATCGCTTTGTAATGTATTCACTTAGCGTATTAGACCTTGATATTAAATTATATTGAGTGGTCGCGACCATGAGTGAGTGATTGTATTTCATCACCTGTGAACGCCAAAACATTATGCGGCGTGTATTCTTTGGGTACGGTCCCAGTGTGGACTACGGGAGGTAGGCCCATGAAGCCACTTATGCAACTGGAGCAGCTGTTCCCACAACTAATTCTAAGGGTCAAATTACACGGTGTTTGTTGCTTATGGCCGTGCACGCTCACTGGTCAAGTCTGTTGGTTGGGTTTCTATTCATGCCACGGTTCAATTTTCACATTTACATCTGCGACTTAATATAGTTCGTTTTTACGAAAAGGAAGGATGTAAATTCGTGATCTTTAAAGTGACAAGGTCTTATATAAGTTGTTAATTTTCCTGTCCTTAAGGTCAGTATGTTTCACTTGTTGGAAGATATTTCACGTGACAGTCTTGGATAACTTCACTGAATTATTACACTTCTCCAGACTGTTTCGTCCGTTCTTAAGTCTTTTCAAGTAATTTGGACTGAATTTACAATTGCCTAAGGTCTACCAACCCCTATACATATATATTTTGATGTTATCAGCCAATTAATAAGCATTTAGCTAATCGGTGTTTCTAATCATTAAGTAACGGTAACGCAAAACTGGCCAAAATGTCTTGTTTTGAGATTGGCTCGCATTAGAGCCATGAACTTTGGTTAAACGGATGACTGGATTGCTTTATTAAAGTAATGTGAAAGCTCAATAGGATGCGTTTTCTCATTTGTTGGAAACATTATACAATGCAACAGGGTGCTTTAATAATATAACCCATCGGTAATTGTGCTCACCACTGAGCCAGTTTCCACTGATTTAATTGTCCTTAATCTCACAGCAGTCCACCAATGCTTCAGGGGAATTACCTAAAGCAGTTTCATACGCCAACTAATTCCTTTAGAACTGCTTTTTGTGTTTAGGTTGTTGTCCTTCCCCGCACCTCCGATTAGCACGGTTGGCTACGTACTGTGAAAAATAAGTTCAACATATATACATCTGGGTAGGTGTTGTAACATCCTCAAGAATATATTATTGCATAGGATTGTCATAGTTTATATCCCAAATAAAATGAAACCCAAATCTGAATTGGAAGTAAACGACAATTATCCAGTTCTCCTGTTGAAAACTAGATATAACATTCGCGAACTTACTGCTGGTAAAAATGAAGGACGTTTGCTCGTCCGCTGTGCAGTGAGAGACCTCGCGACAGGACTGTGTGGCGGCGTGCATCTGTGAGTAGGCCGGCCGGCACGTGGCGGTGGTTGGGGCAGCCGGCGTTGGGCCGCCCATGGACGTGGTGGAGCAGTTGAAGGCGGTGGCGGCGGCGCCGGCCGCCTTCCTCTCGGACCTGGGCCGCCCCACGCTGCGCGGGGTCAAGCGCTGCCCCAAGTGCGGCACCTTCAACGGCACGCGGGGCCTCAGCTGCAAGAACAAGACGTGCGGCGCCGTCTTCCGCGACGGCTCGCGCCGCCAGGCCGCCGACGCGGTGCGCGTGATGGCCGGCGGGGCCGCTGCCGCCGCCGACTGCCCCCTGTTCTCGGTGCGCGCGCGCGACCGGGGGCCCGACCTGCGTGGCTTCGTGGAGCTGCCGGCACCGGACGACGAGTGCGGCGCGGCCGGGGAGGCCGCGGGGTTCGCGCCGTCGGCCGCGCACGACGACCTCTTGCTGGGCGCCGTGGTGGCGGGGGTCCCCCGCTGCCACCTGCCGCACTGCCAGAAGCGGCCGTCGGACAGCATCCTCCTGCAGCACGCCGGTGGCGGAGACGCGGGGGCGGCGGCAATGGCGCGCTGCACGCACGTGCAGACGGCGCAGAGCTGCCAGGACCAGGCGGTGCCGCTCTCGCTCAAGAACTCGGTGCTGAACTCGCTGCAGGTTTGGCGCCCCGCGCTCGGCACTGTGACGCAAGGGCCGCGCGGAACGCGGTTTCACGCCGCCCGTCAAAAGTCTGGCCGGAGGGAAGGGGCACGCGTGGCTTAGGGGGAGCTGCTGCTCGGTCTGTCGGAGCGTTGAGCATCCCACAAAGCAGATTATGTTTTACATCTGACGGTCGTCTTAGTTTAAAACTGGTGTATGTCAGTGTAATTAGTTTGATGGTCTCGTATATATTTATTCATGGCTTTACCAAAAAACCCAAACGTGTTTAATGTTGACCGCTCGCAGCTGAGGGTTACAATTATCAGTCAACTAAGAATTTAGGAGACAGACATGAGATTACCCCATCTCCATATCCCAAGGTTTGCAAGTTAATACAGTACAGTAGTCTCAGCCTCATCTCTCGAGAGTGAACAACGACTCATAGAGTTGACTTTCCACTTCATGAGGTCTCACCAAGTTCAGAGGGTGGATGCAGTAAATAAAATAAAATAAATTCGTACAGAGCTGAGGATTGCAGTCGAGATGTTCTAATAAACAAGTCCCTCCAAGGGTTTCACTCCCTGGCTTATGATTCCACTTTATAAGTATTTGAAATTGTGGTTTCCAGTGGAGTTTTATAATGGCGAATGCCTCATTATCCAATTTAATGCAAGCAGCCATAACTGGTAAATATTTATTAAACATAGAAAGGTTTTAAATTGTTTTCATAACCTCCCGCAAATAGTAAATACTTTATTCCGAGCCGTTTCATTGTTGACATTTGCAGTTTAAATATTAATATTTAAACGATTCCTAAACAGCACAAACACTTATGCAACGTTTAATTTTTCTCCGTGTTTCATGACCAGTGCTAGCCTCCACTACTCATGAGATGGATCCGCCGATCCATCTCACTCACTCTGACCGCCTATAGCCACAGTTCACATCAATGGGTGAACGCAGAGAGAGTCGCAAACATGGGGGTTGAGAGAAAAAGTTGGACGGTGACCACAACATTTACAAACTACAAACTTCAGATATTAGAAAAAATGTCTCGAGAAAAACTGGAAAGAGATAAAGGAACAAAACATGAGAAGATAACGGGAAAGTTTTGGGGCAAGAGAACAATGAAAATGGTAAGAAAAATAAAACAGTGAAAGATAACAACATCGCACAGTAATAGAGAAATATACAGTATACGTATAAAAATAAACACGACTAACATAAATAATCTTTATCTGTGCAAGAAACAAAAAAGTTAAGAAAATTATCTGCAAGACTACTCAACCCCGAGCCCTTAATGCTTTGATATTTGTATTTCCTTTGTGATGTTCGCCTTTTGGAATTCTCTGGTCTAACACCGGTCTTCTTTTTCGTATTGCTGGGGCAACAGTTTATAGCTTTGATGTCGAGGTGAGGCAGAGTGAGTGGTCGTGATGCCACCGGGAATGGATCTCTCAGGGCCAGGAGTTCGGTGCTTGGGGCCATCCTCCGACTTGGGTGGTGGCCACAGTCGCAGTTTGGGCCGCTCCTCACGCTCCACTTGTGTGGAGCAAGTGGGCAGCGTCTTCTTCCCCGGCCCTGTCCTCAAGCGGTCGAGGTGTTGTCCCAAGTTTTCCATGGAAGGTCGAACCCTGGGACTTCATCGCTTGGGGTCAGTTACCAGGTCCCTTGCGATTGGCGACGTTTGCAGTCAACCAGGAGTTTCGCCACTGAGAGGTAGGGCTGTCATTGGTGTGTAGGGTTTGGACTGTGTTCCAGTAGTGGCTGCGGGATTTCAGACGCGTGTGCATGGGGGGAGGAGGTTTGAGTTCCTTTGTCAGTGGGAGTGCTTCGTTGGCTGATAGCCGGTGGTCTTATTTTCGGTGAATGTTTTCCCTGCAGACGTCTGAGCATTCAATGTGAGATACAGCCATAAAGGAGGCTGTCTCTAATGTAGGCCACGCAGTTTCAAGGACAAGGCATATGTTAGCAAGGAATGTTTGTTTGCATGTTTTACCATAAGCATGTGGGGTTAATGCAGACTTGATGCCTTGCAATAGGTGTCTTATTTGGTATTTGAACATCTTAACCCTTTCCCCATTGTGATGACGTTCACGTACATCATCTGTTTTTATTCTGATTCCAACTTCCGATTACAAACGAAATCGGACTTAAAAGGCCGTGCGGGAGGGCGTGTGGCACAGTTTGGTGTCAGCTATCGTAGAGTGCGGTCGTGTTGCTACAGTTCTCTGCGGTGAGTACAGTGTCTTTAAAAACAACGGCGCGACTACGCCTCTCGAAGTAAAATGAACGCCGACCCGCTTCCGCGCTCCGAGATTCGGCGGTGAACGGGACACCACCCACCCTGCAACTTGCAGACGTCTCGGAACGGGCAAGGGATTAACATCTCCTAGATTATAGCTGGAATGGGTAAGGCTATTCCTCTTTTCACCATGAAGAAAGGCAGCGATATTAAAGGTGCGTGCGGCGGCTTACTCGGTTGCGCGTGCGCGCGCGTGTGCGCAGGTGCCGAGCGAGGTGAAGCAGGCCATCTGGCTCCTGGCCACGGAGACGGCGGGGCCGCTGGTGCAGCGCGTCACACGTTCCTCCATGGTGGTGAAGTGCAAGCCGGGCCCTCGACACCCGCTGGGGCTGCTGCACTGCACCTTCAGCCCCCGCGCGCGCCCCAAGGGCCCGCCCGAGCCCTGGTTCCACTGCGCGTGCCGTCCGGGCAAGCGGCACTGCCGCAGTCTGGCAGGCACCGACCCCGGCGCGCTGTGCGTGCACTTCTACGCGTGCGTGTGCGCCTTCGCCAGCGACCCCAAGCTCTCGCAGGAGCTTGACGCGTACATCAACCTCGGCGCCAACCGTAAGGGCCCGCGGCCTCCCCCCGCATCCCCCCACCGTCTGTATGTATGTTGCACTTCTTTCGCACTGTACGTAGCCAACCGCGTTAATTGCGGCGGAAGGACAACAAGCTGAACACAAAAGCAGCTCTAAAGAAATACGTTTTCAATCTAGATGATTTTAAAGTGCATAGCTGCCAGTGGCTTCATACTATTGGAAGGAAGAGCGTTCCAGACGGCCACAGAAGCGCATCTGAAAGTACGCGATGCAGTGCCCACCATTGTTCGATTGTGAGCCAAAAGTCTTGTCTCCGGTATAAAACACAGCAAACTAAACAGATAAGTAATCCACTGCATGTTGTTACTAACCCAACCGATAATAGGCACTGCATATTCTCAAATTAACACAATCCACTGTAATTTATATTACCACATTAACCCCCCTCTGGTCTTCGCACCTGATAGGCTCACGGTGATGACATCACCATTGCTCTATTTAAGACCGAACCAGGAAGACTTCTTCACAATTCTAGCAAATCGCCTGATGAAGCTGGTCAACAAAAAAAAAACTTTTTTTTCTGGCCTGGACTTTTGCAGCTGTTTTAGACTAATATCAGGGTGCTGATTCCAAATCTGATCTCAGATTTGCTCTATCACATCTCATTTTAATGCTATCGGCATACCCCATTTTCATTGATTTTACCCGAAATTAACTCTGTCACTTATGATTACAAGTTGTTGCGAGTCAGTAACTGCTTTAGTGTTAAAATATGGTGCTGTATTTTTAGGATAGTGTGTTTATAATATAATTTTATGTAGATATCCACATTTATTTAATATTTTTCTTCTGCAGTTTTTATTGAAAATGCAATATTTGATATCTCAAAAACCTGATGTGATAGACAAAAACTGATGCCAGATTTGGAATCAGCACCCCAAAATTACCTTAAAACCGTTGGAATACCTTATGCCAGAAAAAGTGTGTTGACCAGTGAAATTATTACGTATCCGTGGCGACTGGTGGTTGTTGTTGCTTTTGTGCTTGTTACACAGCGATGTTTGAGACGCAGCTGGGCGACAGTAACGTGAAAGTGCTGACGCCCACGAGCGAACTGTGCCCCGTTCGAGGCGCCAAGAAGAGGCGGAAGGAAGAGGCCGGTGAGTTCAAGTTCAAGTTCATTTATTAGGTATAGCCCTGTGAGCCATCCGGCTCTTGAATCGGGTGCAACTGCAACTAACAAAAAACATGAACAAAAAACATCTTAAAGTGAATATTTGACTAAGTGCAAACAGAAAATCCAAGAAAAGACAGCAAAATATTGAAGAAAAAAATCACCGTACACCAACGCTGTGTGCAAAAGTCCCAGTGGGATGCAAGTCAAACAACCAACAACAACCACAAGACACATGTAGCCACTGCAGTCACAGCAACGAACTCCGCAGTGATGCCGCTCTTTGCTTTCACCGTGGGTGAGGCTGTTGTTGGCCCGGCTTATAATTCTCGTACGTGAGGATTCGAAAGGATCTCACTTAGCAGGCAGCGGAAGACGCGAGTAAACACTCATGAATGTACACTGGCAAACGTGTGAGTTTTTCTTGCTTATTAATCACAATAAATACTTTTTTCATCGTTAAAAACAATCCAGGTATAGTGTTTTTTTATGTTAATTCGTATTTTAAAACATCTAATTGTTAGTATGTTTGTTATATGTTGGTAGTTTGTCAAACAAATCTTCAATACAGCTGATTCTCGCATTGCTACCAGTGGTCAGTGAAACCTAAACCACCACCCACGCTGGCCAACGTGGTCAACTATGCTCACATCGTCGCTGTAAGATGTTCTGTGTTCATATTTAGTTTGTTGCGGTTGCACCCGACTCAAGAGCCGCATGGCTCACAGGACTATACCCAATACATGAAACTTAAAACTTCGACAAAAGCCCTTTGACTACCATCCAACAGTCGTTTGGGAAAAATTCCGTCGAGTGCCCGCAGGTAGGTACTGACGTCGTCATAGCGCGTGGACCCCTCGTGCTTGGCGGGGCGCGTGAGGTGGCGCCATGCCGGGTGCGAACGCACCGCCGCTTTCCTCTCTCTCTCTGTCTGCCTTCCTCCCTCTGTGTCAGCATGGCAGCAGCTGGGCCAGGACCCGGACAGAGGGTCACTGGAGAGGACGCCGGGGGGCAAGAAGCGACCCGGATCGCCCAGTGGCAACCGGCAAGGTGTAACGCACGCAGGAGGACTTGACGTCGCCGTCAGCCTTGGTGGCAGGGTGTGGGGCGGGCAGAGCTCGGGGGGTTCCCACCTCTGGGCACCACGGTGGCGAGATGTTGACTATCTCGCCCGGGATACAGGAGGTCGTGGGTTCGATCCCGACAACTGACGCCTGCTGCTGTATATTTGGAGTTTGCGTGTCTCTCTCTCTCCGTCGTCGCGTGGAGTTTTTCCCCGGGTCCTCCGGTGTTTCCCTCCACACTGAGAATCAACATCACGCGTTTAGACTTTAGAGTATTTGTCCGCTATAAATGTTTACGTGATGATAAGCCACTTCGCTGAGCTGTCATTCGTATTGGCCAGGTCACTTCTCAAAAAGAGTTACATAGCTCAGTAGGCCTTGCCTGGTAAAACTAAAAAAATATATATTTTTTTAATCTTAAAGTTTTTTTTTTATGAACACAGTTTCTGAGTACAGGCCCAAAGAACCGAAACGTCAAATGGCCAGCAGAAATCAAACGGCACCATCACAGCTTTAATAGATAAGAGCAGAGCTGTTACCCGTATTCTTGTGCAGGGAAATTGAGTTTTCAGGTCCATACGGCATACAGCCGTTTCAATACGGGCTAACAATGTTTCTGTTTATATGTTTGTGTTTCTCTGTAGGATGAACGTTGCGATGTATAAGGGCAACGGCGTGACCAATAAGGTCTGAATTGGTCTGTTATAAGATTAGGCACTGATAAGGGGTTGACAGGTCTGTCAGACGGAACACGTTTTTTCTTAAATTGATCAAAGGTATAAGAGCTTTGGTAAAGAGATGACTGCTGCTGCAATGTTTCTGCTGTTCTCCTGGGTTTGAAGGGGTACTTCAACGCTAAGACACTTTAAGCCAAGACGTTTCTAGAGTTTTCCATTTCAAACTCGACGAGAATGTCGCGTGGCATTATCGCAAATAACTGTAGGCTAAGGTGGACAAACATATTGACACTGTATAGCATCACATATATATATGAACCTGGCATCCATTGTAATTGGGATTTTAAAACTGGAAATAAGATATGCTCAAGGTACTAACTGGGGCGTTACGTTACTGTCATATCTACTGTATGTGTGTATGTGTTTGTACATAGGTCTGTAAGTTTTTGTTCCTGTTATGTACGCGAAGTTTCACACCCGTGCCGTGGGAATGTTGAGTTTCCACCGCTGTAAGCGAGAGATGAGTTCCGCCCTATGTCCTGCACTTGTTCGAGTCTGCATCACCTCAACTTGACACGTGCTTGTTGTTTTGCAGCCATGCAGTATGTGCACGTAATACGCGTTTATTTCTAATTGTGTATTTGTCGAGGCTTCGGTATGTGATTATCCGTAAATTGGTGTTTAATGTGCTCTATGTACTTTATGTATTGTATTATACCGTATGTGCAGGAACGTGCTGTAGGTCTGTATTTGTATGGGCTGTGTAGTGCATATATGAATGTGCATAGGCATAAATATATACGACTGCGTGCTACATATCATTTCTACGTATAATATTCGTTGATGTGTTATCACATTGCAAACAACATTCAGCCAGAGATCCGAAATCGTATCTGCTGCTTTTGGGTTCAATCCAGCACCAGTTTCAATGGATCTGTACCAGTCTCACCAGTAAGCTATGCAGCGTATATATGTCCCTAGGTATGTTTATTGTTTGTATGAAGGCGTACGACGCACTCGCATGTATGTGTGTGGATGTGCAGCGATCGCTCAACCGGTGGACGAGAGTCAGGTGATCTTGACGTTCCGCGAGTGGTTGTCCAGCGTGACGGAGAGAATCAACCAGACCATGCACTACCAGTTTGACGGTACGCACCAGCAACCTCACCCACACAACGCTGCTGCTCAACGCGACGTGGAATGTGCACGTGAAGGCGGGCGGTCCAAGTGAATGCCACGGATGGACGTGCCGTCGGGCACGTTCCCTCCTTTGACTGCCACTCCGTCGTTCGTCTCGACCCCGCCCCCCCCCCCGGCCATCGTTCCTACTTGCCACGCGTCCTGCCCAATTCCACTTCTTAGCACATTCAGAGTTTGTGAGAGTTTGTGCGGCTGTGCTCCCCGGTTGTGTCCCTCTGACAGATATATTCAATTCGCGAACTTGTTGTACGTGGATTTTGTTTTTCTCATGTTTGCCACGAGCCCCACTTTACAGCCTTCTTCGTTAAGTTCTTCAGAAATGTAAACTGTAGTTTGTCTCTGTTGGTTACAAGTTCCACTTTGCTTTTGTTATAGCATTCTAGGGCCACAGTGGCGAGATGTTAACTACCTCGCCAGGTCTACGGGAGGTTGTGGGTTCGATCCCGACCTTTGACGCCTGCTGTATATTTTGAGTTTGCATGTTCTCCCTGTGGTCGCGTGGATTTTTCTCCGGATCCTCCGGTTTTTCCCTCCACATTTAGAAACATGCATTGAGAGTATTTGGCTGTTATACATTTCCAATTGATAAGCCACTTTGTTGAGCAATTATTTGTGGCCCGGTTGCTTCTGAAAAATAGCTAGTTGCTTAGTGGGCCTCATTTGGTAAAATTAAACAAAATTGTTTAGTTTGGTTGTGTATGCATGGAGAGTAGTGTTGTGGTAATTGGCACATTGTGCTATGAGCTCATTACTCTTTTTCTACACCAGTGGAGATTGGCATTTGATTTCTGTATGTGCCAGCCTTGGTGTGTCACCATTACACACAACTCGCTTGCCACAAATGAACCACACGACACCTTGCCGATCTCGTCAATGAGCATTAACCATCATCACGGGAACTCCGGTCATCCTCGCAGCAGCAGCTTTTGGCTCACCATCGAACCAAAGACAGTCGCCTCATCACGCGCTTTCAGGTGCGCTTCTGCGTCCATTTGGAATGCTCTTCCGTCCGATATTAGGAAGCAACTGGACCTATGCACTTTTAAATCTAGATTGAAAACCCCTTTCTTTAGAACTGATATTCGTGTTTAGTTTGTTGTCCTTCCCCCACACCTCCGATTAGCACGGTTGGCTACGTAAGAAGTTCAACGTACGTGCATCACATGGAACCTCTCCTGTGGTTTTCCGACCCCACCACCACCACCACATGTGCCCTGCTGGCTTGCCAGGTATCACCCACTCGAACAACAGTCTCACGGTGCGCGTGGACGCGTGGGTGTGTGAACAGGCAAGCCGGAGCCGCTGGTGTTCCACGCTCCGCAGGCGTTCTTTGATGCCTTGCAGCAGCGCATTTCAATGGGGAACAAGAAAAAGCGGCTTCCAAACTCCACAGTCGGTAAGGTCTCTGGCTTTGGACCAAAAGGCCATAAATCTGCACGTGTCACCTCCACAAGCAGCGATGTCACGGGCCCAGTTACACTTTCCTTTCAGTGTCGTCGCCGCTCCCGCCAGGTACTGTATGTCATCGCCTCGGAGCCTTTGATCTCGTTAGAAGGAGTTTTTGGCAGATTACAGAGCGGTTGAGCCGTCGTAAAATGTACGTGCGAGTACGATTCAAACGTGTGTCCATGTGTTGGTCAAGACCTCGCCGCGTGGTACAACCTCGCGGTTAACCCAGAGCTGGTGCAGAGAGATAACCCAAGCGGTAATCCGTTATCGCTTGTGCATAGCGAACGGTGAGTGTCAGGAACCTCCTGGTTCCACCAGCCCACAGGGGATTATTGTGTCCGTCCGTTTGTCGTGAATCCAAAAATGGGAGGGGTGGGGCTGGGTGGAGAGGGGAGGGTGGGGAGGGTCTGAGTGGGGAGGGTGGGGCTGGGTGGGGAGGGGAGAGTGTGGAGGGGCTGGGTGGGGAGGGTGGGGCTGGGTGGGGGGTGGGAGGGGTGGGGCTGGGTGGGGAGGGGCTGGTCACCCCGTAGTGCCCTTATAAAACTCAACGTTTAACCTACTCACGCCGGCTTGTGCCCGCCCTCACAGTCGGGCATATTTGCGGAATACACCACGCCGCCGTTGACCCTGGCCATTGACTGAGCAACCCAACGTTCCTACCAGCTCCCTCCGCAGGAATGTGTTTTGAGTCGGCCTATAAAACTGAGTGGAACAGACGTTACGTTATTTACAAGGTCGCACTCATGAACCACACGACACCTTTCTGATCTCGTGAAGGAGCGTAAATCATCACGCGAACCCCGGTCATCCTCGCAGTAGCGGCAGCGGCAGTGTTTGGCTGGCCATCGAACAAAGACGGTTAGTTACCGCATCGCGCGCCTCTTTCAGATGCGCTCCTGTGGCCGTCTGGAACGCTCTTCCTTCCGATATCAGGAAGCCACTGGAGCTATGCACTTTTAAATAATCTAGATTGAAAATTAATTTCTTTATAACAGCCTTTTATGTTTAGTTTGTTGTCTTTCCCTCACATCTCCCATTAGCACGGTTGGCTATGTACGGTGAAAAAGAAGTTCATACATATATTCATTCAGCTTTAGCCCTATGGGTTGGGCAAGTTTAAAATCAAATGGTTGTGTTGGTTTTGTTTATGCAGCTATCAGTGGTAGAGTTGAGGCCACTTCAGCTTGCCACACAATCTCTCCAGTAGCAACCCAGAGCTTTGAACCCAACATCTCACTTGACGTTGACGTTTGGGCCCTTAGTCAGCAGGCCGCTCAGAGTCGGTCAAACCTTGATGCTTAATCCAGCCATCGCCTCACTAAAACGGCCTTCATTGCGTAAGGCAGCAGGCTAGCCTGGTATTTGCCACTGAGATGATTTCAATGTGTGGAGTCAGTGTCTAGATTGTGTTAAGGGTGTGTTGTACGCTGTTAAATAACTATTTCACAGCGTACAACACACGCTTAACAAAATCTAGGGTGTGTTGTACGCTATTAAATAACTATTTAACATATAAATAACTATTTAACAGCGTACAACACACCCTAGATTTTGTTAAGCATGTGTTGTACGCTGTGAAATAGTTATTTAACAACAAAATCTAAATAACATTTAACAGCCTGTGTAAAAAATTCCCCCAAGCATTGGCCACGGTGTTGCAAGTGTTGTAGTGAAATATTTTTTATAATTACTTTCAAATGAGTCACTGACTGCATATTCGCAGTGTTTCAACCGTGCATTCCGAGAGTAAAAACGAACCCCATTGTGCTTTGACCACAACTTTTTAAATATATACTTTGACCGCAAGTTAAACATAGAGGCCGTTGTTGTGAATTACGTTCGAGATATCCCCACGGGAGCCTTCATCCTTCACCGCGCCCTAACCTCCCCGAGGTCGCGCGGGTCTCGCTCAGGATTCGTCCGGAAGGACGCCCTCCCGCTGGGAACCTTCTCCAAGTACACATGGCACATCACCAGTCTGCAGCAGGTGAAGCAGATCTTCAGCACGCCGGAGGTGAGTGAGCGGGACGGAGGCGGTGGGGGGAGCTCCTCTACCTGATCCCTTGTGTCTCTCTTCCTGTGCCGCCTCTCTTCCTGTGTCTTCCCGTGTCTCTCTGCCCGTGCCTCCTCTCTTCCCGTGTCTCCTCTCTTCCCGTGTCTCCTCTCTTCCCGTGTCTCCTCTCTTCCCGTGTCTCCTCTCTTCCCGTGTCTCTCTTCCCGTGTCTCCTCTCTTCCCGTGTCTCCTCTCTTCCCGTGTCTCCTCTCTTCCCGTGTCTCCTCTCTTCCCGTGTCTCCTCTCTTCCCGTGTCTCCTCTCTTCCCGTGTCTCCTCTCTTCTCGTGTCTCTTTCCACGCGATCCTCTTGTTGCGTCTCTCCTGCTGATTTGGATGCAACGGTGGCTAGGAGATGTTAACTACCTCGCCTGGTCTACAGGAGGTCGTGGGTTCGAGCCCGACCACTGACACCTGTTGTATATTTGGAGTTTGCGGTGTCTCTCATCATCACGGTGGCTAGGAGATGTTAACTACCTCGCTTTGTATGCAGGAGGTCATGGGTTCGATCCCGAGCCTGACGCCCGCTGTGTATTTTGAGTTTGCGGTGTTTCTCTCCCTGTGGTTGTGAGGATTTTTCTCCAGTTCCCTCCACATTTAGAATCAACGTGCATTTAGAGTATTTGGCCGCGATGAATTTCCAAATGAAAAGCCACTTTGTTGAGCTATCATTTGTGGCCAGGTCGCTTCTGAAAAAGAGCTACATAGCTCAGTAGGCCTTACCTGGTAAAATAAAAAAATCGCTTAAATAGATTGTCTCTTCTCTCATATTGTATTCGCTCGTTATTCGCGAACTTGCGATGTTTTGCTATCTGCGAATCACACCTGGAATTCTACACGACTGCATCGAGAGGCAGAAAGAATAAGATAATGTGATGGCATAAAGTGCTGAGAGATAAAGTGATGATATAAAGCGATGAGATAAAGCGATGAGAGAGATACAGTGATGAGATAATGTTCACATTTAATAGCTTACTTAAGTATTCAGGCCAATATCATTATCCGCGATATCGGCTATTCACGAGCATCTCCGGAACGTATCCCACATTCACACTATGGGAACCTCATTTGCCAGTAAAAATATGATAATTGGTTTTTTACCCTTCTATCTGGCAACAAAACTGACACCTTTTTACAAGGAGTCATGTTTGCATAGACCACAATACCTGCAGTCATAATGCAAACAAAAAACATAACTCTGATAATGTGCACTGTCCTTGAAGTTGATTGGTCCACACCCGAGACAGCTTTCCTTAGAGCCTAGTCTCACATGGGTTGGACCAGATGACGCCAAAAGGCGCACGTGCGCCACTGGGGAGTCAAAGGTGGTCGGGCATGGTACTGGCCACGCACCCCCTCATTTGGCGTGCCGGCCTTCATAGGTGCTCGCAAACAACACTTGCCCCAAAAGTCTTTTCAGACTATACGGGGAATCTTTGTCTTTGTGTGTAAAAGTGGCAGGTCATACGTGCGTGTTTGGCGTAATTACTCTTTTTACATTGACATGGTGATGTTTGTGTAGTGCCATCAGTAGGTGCCTTCCCACAGCCACGTTCATATGCAGGGATGCAGGATGCAAAACCTACCCATGTCCCATTCTGACTTGAGTGAACATGTTCATGTGTGTGATTGTGTTAATACAATATTAGGGGCTCAACATTATTTATTTTTGGGGTGCCACGGCGGCGAGACGTTTACTACCTCGCCTGGTGTACAGGAGATCGTGGATTCGATCCCAACCCTGACGCCTGTATTTTGGAGTTTGCGTGTCTCTCTGCCCGTGGTCGCTTGGATTTTTCTCCGGGGCCTCCGGTTTTCCCCTCCACATTTGGAAACACGCCTTTAGAGTATTTTGCTATTGCTATAAATGTCCACGTGATAAGCCACTTAGTTGAGCTATCATTTGTGGCCAGGTTGCTTCTGAAAAGGGGCTATATAGCTCAGTGGGCCTTACCTGGTAAAATTAAAAAATAGCTTAGTATTTAATAGTTCTTAGTTTAAGAGATTGCTAGTTTTGAGAGAAAAAATTACCAACAATTATTTAATAAGTGCACTGAAGCTGAGTATTTTGAGTATCAAATATAGACCATATTAATACTCCATAAGCTAGGCAAGTTGTATGAAGTTTCAAGTCGATTTTCTTTCATCATAATCAGAATATTTATTGAGACTGCAGGAGGAAATCCGATGAGCTCAGGAGCTCTTTTTCACTGATGTCCAGTCGGGGAGAGACCTCAAGAGCCCCAGGATGTCATTGGCGAGGGTGACCTTGGTCACAACATTTATAACGGCGATGAATGCACGTTGTTGTTGTTTTGTTGTTTGTTTTGTTGTTGTTTGTTGTTGAATGCGGTTGATGACATGTGCACGGGTAGCAATTGGCTGTCGTGACTTTGAAATTGTGTCGTGTTTACTGTTGCGGACGATCAGCACGTCCGTGTATTTGTCAGCGACTTGATGTCGTTTGTGACATTGTTGTTAAATGACTTTATTATGAAGGTCGCGCTTATTACACATGACGCGCTTGTCACTAATGAGCCACAACGCCTCGCGGTTCTCATCAAGGAGCATAAAGCATCATCACGCGAACTCCGGTGGTAATCCTCGCAGCAGCAGCAGCGGCTTTTGGCTGCTCGCCGTCGAACAGAAACGGTCACTGCATCGCGCGCTTTCACATGCGTTTATGCGGCCATCTGGAACGCTCCTCCTTCCGATATTCGGAAGCCACTGGAGCTATGCACTTTTAGATCATCGAGATTGAAAACTCATTTCTGTAAGAACTGATTTTTGTGCTTGGTTTGTTGTCCTTCTCCCCGCACCTCCGATTAGGACAGTTCACTACGTACGGTGCAAAAAAAGTTCATACGTACGAAGGCCTGTAACGGTGACGGTTTCCGTTTCTGCGATGCAACTGCCGCTCCTCCTGCGCCACTGGCCATTCACCGCACCGTGCCCGTGTCCCGCCCGCAGGTGCCGCTGGAGGCGACGCGCAGCTTCGTGGAGAACCGGGACGGCACATACGACGTGTTCCGCAGCCCGCAGCCGCGGACGGACGAGGCTGGGGACGCGTCCGGCCGGGCCGAGAAGCAGCAGCGGGCGACCATCCGGCCCCTGCAGCTCAACACCTTCCTCAAAGTCGGTGCGTGCGCGGGGATGCTCCACGGTTCGGCTGAATTTAGTTTGGATGGACGGCCGGAGGCACCTGCGATCTTGCGTTTTGAATCCAGATGGGGCAACCCACACTTGTACCCTCTCTCGTTCCGATGACGGTTTCATTTTGGTGACGTACGTGTACGTACGTGTACGTCACCAAAACGAAACTGGAAGAAAATGTAAAATAAAATAACTTTGTCGGTACCGGGGCTCCCGCAAGGCCACGGCAGGAGGCCGTGTGGCACAGTTTGGACATCTACTGGACATCTGTGAAAACTACTGGCCACCTGTGAAAAAGAGCTTCATAGCTCATTGGATTCCAGTATAAATAACTATTTTGATTTTAATCTGATTGTTTGGTGCCAGCTATCATAGTGTGGTTGTGTCACTACGGTTCTCTGCAGGGAGTACAATCTCTTTTAAAAAATGCCTCTAAATAAAATTCACTCTGAACCGCGTGCACGTTCCCAGATTCAGCGGTTAACGGGACCCAACCAGACATCTCGGAATGGGAAAGGGTTAAGACTGCTTTCTCAGATGTCAGTTGAGGATCTTATGCAGGTTACCGGTGACTTTACACGCAGCTTTATTCGGCATACTCCCAAAGGTAAAGCCTCCTAATTTGTTTCTCATTAATTCAATAACTTTGTCATTCTATTTCTATCAATTAAGTCTGCTAGAGCCGGCCCATGATTGGCTGCTCTGACGATGCTTGCAAATGCTTGCGATCTTGATTCGCGGTTGTTGCACATGGCCGGAAGCATCGATAGTTTCCGTCTCTGCGAAACGCCATCGCCACCGGCGCACGAGCTCGCGAGTGGAATGCACGCCCGGGATCCCATACCTGCAGAATGAGTCGGTTCGCCTTCAGGACAGATGACCACCTGGAATGGCTGAACTTGATCGCACTTGGCGAAGGATGAAGGACGCGAGAGCAGCGATGTTGTTTACACAGGGTATACGCAGCCGTAAGTGCATCTGCTGTAGGGGTAGGACACGCACAGCAAACGAAGAGTGTTGTTACTTCATGAAAACTTTGGAGGTTTTAGCTGTAGGTAGAAAGGAAATGCAGCCTGCATTCTTTTAACCGCCTCGGTGGTGAGATGTTAACTCCCTCGCTTGGTATGCAGGAGGTCGTGGGTTCGATCCCAACCCTGACGCCTATATAGTTGAAATTTGCGTGTCTCATTACCCGTGGTCGCGTGGATTTTTCTCCAGGTCCTCCGGTTTTCCCCTCCACATTTATAATCAACGTCATGCGTTTAGACTATTTGGCTACTATACAGTTCCACGTGATAATCCACTTTGTTGAGCTGTCATTTGTGATAGCTAGGTGGTCTCTGAAAAAGAGCTATATAGCTATGTGGGGCCGTTTCCTGATTAAAATTTTATATATTGCAAATTATATATGACAAGTACTTTGATCCCAACCCTGACGCCTGCTGTATATTTGGAGTTTGCGTGTCTCTCTCTCCCCGTGGTCGCGTGGATTTTTCTCCGGGTCCTCCGGTTTTTCCCTCCACATTTAGAATCAACATCACACGTTTGGAGTATTTGGCTGCTATCAATTTCCACGTGAAAAGCCGCTTCGTTGAGCTGTCATTTGTGATATCCGGGTCGCTTATGAAAAAGAGCTACACAGCTCATTGGGCCTTAACTGGTATAATAAAACATCTTAGGTTTTTTCGGTAAAGTCACGTAGGTAAAAATAAATAATAAAAATAAAATAATAGAAATAATAATAGAATAAAATGATCCAGTAAATCTACAGTAAATCTAGCTGTGACGGTCCCACCTGATGACGGAGACTTGTGTTGCCCCCGAAACGTCATGATTTATAATTTTACTCCTATTATTATTTCTATTATTTTATTATTATTTATTTTTACCTACGTGACTTTACCGAAAAAACCTTAAAAGAGTATGAATCCTTGCAGTCACGAAAGCTTCAAATCTAGAAATAATAAAACATCGTTTAATACTTTCAATCGGAGGATGTCTGTGCCAATCAATACACTTGAAGATGTGTTTATAGTAACGTCGGTGCCAGTGGTGAAGCCAACATGCAGTGTGCTGCATATTTCCTTTGGGGCCCCATGTGTGACTGAAACTCACATGTTGCGCTAGTTAGAGATCACTCGGTTCTCATCTGACAACGGTTAGAGTTTGCGCGTCGATCATTCTCGTGGAAAAGAAGCATTTAAACCACAAGCCTAATGGATTGGGCTTTGTACGTAATTCTAGGTCATTTATGTTTTGAATTCTATAAAGGTTTAGGTGTATTATTTACTTTAATCATCAGGGTTGATCTGGCACAAGCACGGAGTGGAGCATTCTTCCTTCGTCACCTCCGCGAGATGGCGATTAATTTCAGCGGAGGTTGGACCACATGATGGGCCTCCAACGAGTACCTTGTTTAAATACATCTAAACCCCCACAGTCGTTTGGGCACATCTGTTGTGGCTCATCGCGCTCCTCTTGTAATTCACGTGACGGCGTTTGACCCAGCGACACTGACCGAGTGCAAAGATAGCTCGAGGCGGAGTGCTCGGCTCACAGTCGTAAGGTTGTCCGTTTAAAATACCGATCGGAGGTCAACTCAGCTCATCATCCCTCCACGGTGCAGCTTGGTAAGAAGTCAACAGTGGCTCTCTCTGTCGAGATGTTGACCCCTACCCGAATAAAACTATAAACACATTTTTTATTTTACCAGGTAAAGCCTCACTGAGACTCTGTCGCCTCGACGGACCTGGTTTTCACCTGAGGACGGCTGCTTGCGTTGTGGCCGAAACGTCGTGAGAATAATTTTATTATGTTTTATTTTTATTATTTTATTACTTCCCTTCTACGTGACTTTACCGAAAGAACCAAGAAGATATATAATTGCTCTTTTTCAGAAGAAACCTGCACACAAATGATGGCTCAACATCGTGGTTTATCACGTGGAAATGTACAGCAGCCAAATACTCTCTTTACGGACTGCATCGTGACGTAAAGTGTACTTATTCACACGCATTGCGGCTCCTAATATATTGAGTTTTGTGCCAAATTCGAAAAAAGATGGCTCTTTGTGTTATCTTGGTTGCCAATCCCCGTTCTAAACACGTGATGTTGATTCTAAACGCGGAGCGAAACGCTGGGAAATCGTGCCAAACGGCACACAGCGGTTAAAACCCGTACAGACTAAACGAAAACTATTTGTTATTTTACCAGGTAAGGCTCATGGAGCTATGTAGCTCTTTTTCAGAAGCGACCTGGCTATCCTCAATGATATCTCAACGAATTGGCTTATCACGTGGAAATGTATAGCAGCCAAATACTCTTAACGTGTGTTTCTAAATGTGGAGAGAAAAAAACGGCTAACCCGGAGAAAAATCCACGCGACCACCGGGAGAGACACACAAACTCCAAATGTAGAGCGAGTGTCAGGATCGGGATCGATCCCACAACCTCCCGTATACCAGGCGAGGTGGTTAACATCTCCTAGCCACCATGGCGGCACTCCCCCCACAAGCGCGGGGGTACCCTGACTCCTGGCGACGGCGCCGCCCTCTTTTCAGGCACCGCGTCCGTGGAGCAGGTGGAGCCGACGCCGTTCGTCATGGAGTGGGTGCCCGACATCCTGCCGCGCTGCAGGATCGGCGAACTACGAGTGAAGTTCGAGTACGGCCACCAGCGCAACGGGCAGCCGGAGCAGCGGGAGCGCCCGCTCGAGCCCTCCGACGTGCTACTGCAGTGAGCGTCGGCGGGGCATGGGGGGGGGGGGTGAGGGGGGGGGGGGGTGAGGGGAGGGGGCGGCGGGGTGGGGGGTGAGGGCGAGACGTTTACTGCCGCTCGTAGGCCCTAGGAGACATCGTCGGCTATCGTGGCCTGCGCCGTGCTGTCACGCAGGTCTGGCTGGCCTGGGTCCTGTCGTCGCAGGGCTGCCGTCGCGCACAACTCTGCGGCACGTCGCAACTCTGCTGTGTCACGAGCCCCACCTTCACGTCCTTGCCACCTCTTGCATCTTCCAGTCACGAGATCTTTTTTTGAGGTCACGGTGTTGCTCCCAGGTCCAATGGGGCCCCAATAGTCCCGCACCTCAACATCACGGGCGCTACCGTCGGGCGTTGTACCGCGACGGGTACCGGAGTCGCACCTCCGATTAGCGCGGTTGGCTACGTACGGTGCGAAAGAAGTTCAGCGTACGTACGTAGTCAAATCCTTCTACCGTCACCTGTAAAGACATCACAAGCCACCATATCACGTGATCCGTTACCTTACTCGTAATTAAGGGCCAATGCACGAGGTGGCTCCATACTCATTACAAATATGTTATTGGCAGCCACAGTCGTAATACAGTTGCACAAAACGTCGGTGTTTCACGCCGAGGCAGACAACGGTTAGCGTGGCAGGTGTGCGGGCGAAGCGAGTTAACGAGTTAAAATTCCACGGCTCACCAGTTTTGGCCACTTTAGTGTTCTGCTGCCGTTGCGGTTTGTAGCCGGTAACATCATCTTCGGTGCACCGCCGTGTGTGGCCCAACGCAAACATGTTGTTCGGCAACAGAACGCCTCCATCCTGCACCGTTGATATGTTTGCAACTCGTGTGTTCTGTGGGAGCAAAAGTGCAACGGTTAGCGCTACGCTGCGCTACGAACCCGGCGATCCCAGTTCGATTCCCGCTCATGGCCAACACCGGTGACGATTGTTTGACCGGTCCTGGGCCTCCCCTAGGTCGACTCAGCCCTTAAATGAGTACCTGGTGCGGCGTATAAATGTCGCCACTGGGGAGATGAAGGCGGCCGAGCCACCCATCCCCTCGTCTGCCGTGGCGTTCTCATTGATGCTCGTTAACAGCACTTACCCCAACAGTCTGTTAAGGGTATACGGGGCATCTTTGTCTCGTAAGAACAACCACAATCATTGGCTGCCATGGCAATCAGCTTTGCAAGGTAATTTCACGTTGCGGAAAACTACAATTATTTGGTCATTCCGGAGTAGAAGTCAACAAATTGCAACAAAAGCACAAAAGGAGACGTAAAGGCCAATGAAATGTAAATCACAAACAGCGGCCAAAGACAGAGCGCCGAGTCGATGCCTGTAGGGGTGTTCATAGCAGGTGCCATGGTCACACTGTGACCCCCCTCCCCCCCTGGAAACGAGATTACAACTTCCACACAGTTGCGCCCTTCCCCCTGCACCTCCGATGAACACAGTTGGCCTCTTACCGTGCGAAAGAAGTTCAACTTACACGTGTACATGTCGCGCTATGTAAGGTTCACGTCAACGTTGGCAGGCATCGTTACGCCCTGGGCCACGTGCGGTTTCCCCGGGAGCAACTCGTGCGATCGGTGCGTGCCGGAGCACCGTGAATCACGCGGTTTGCCTTCTACGCGGCGGGGTTCATCTCCGTCGAAAATCATCGCCTCAGACGCGTCTATGGGGGCACGTGTCGCGCCCCAACGAGCTGAAACCACGAGCCGAGCCTCGGCGCATCAGCGTGTGTGGAAACGACGCGCCGCCGTCGCGGACCATCCCACGCGTCGTCAATGAACGGCACCGCCGACGTCTTCCACGGCTGTCCGGACCGTTCGCAGCCCCGGGAGTAAGCTCCTGAGCGACAGCTCACCCAAGAGACCAACTTCGCCGCGGTCGACTCGAGGGTTCCAGCGGTACGCCGCATTGCACTTGTTCAGCCGGACATCAACGAGCCGCGCGCATGACTCCTCCTGGCCCATATTGGCGCACAGTATTCGGCTACAGAGTTAACACAAGGGCCACCGATGATGTCCGGAGCACTGGATTGTTGTTGTTGCTGCTAATGCTGCTGCTGTGGAGACCGGGAGATCGATGATCGACGTTCGGTCGCCGCGTCGATGATTGTATTCGTTGTGATCTCTCAACAACAGAGTGGGGGCCGCGTGACGGCTGCCACCTTCCATTTCGCTGCGGTGGAAGGGCTTTGTGGATGCTTGTGTCCACCAGGTGGCGGCCACAGAACTTGACAAATATTATCCGGGAATTTACATAACGCAACATGTGGAACAGATTTGAGAAATTGTACACAGTTGTACACTGATGCTTACCCTTTCCCGTTCTGGGATGTTTGCAAGTTGCAAAGTGGGTCTCATTCACCGCTGAATCTCGGAGCGCGCAAATATTCGTTCGTTTCTAAATCCGCTTGTCCTGGTGAGGGTCGCAGAAGCAACATGTTGAGTAGGGCGTTCCAGACCTCCCTTTCCTTGGCGACAGACTCTAGCTCTTCCTGGGTAATTCCCAGGCATTCCTAGGCCAGCCGAGCGACGTAGACCCCGCCAGCATGTCCTGGGGTGGCCCCGGGGTTTTCGACCAGTGGGAAGTGTTGCCCGGTAGAGTTCCAGGGTGAATCTCCCGGGGAGCATCCTTACCAGGTGCCCGAACCACCTCAACTGGCTCTTCTCAATCCGGACGAGCAGCAGCTCGACTCTGAGGCTCTCCCGGATTGCCGAGCTTCTCACCCGATCATGGAGAGTGGTGAGCCCGGCAACCCGCAAAGCCTCATTTCGGCCCCTTGTACCCACGATCTCATCCTTTCGGCCATTACCCAAAGATCATGACCATAGGTGAAGGTGGGAACGAAGATCGACCTGTAAACTATGAGCTTTGTTCGAGAACTCAGCTCCTGCTTCTACCACGGAACGGTACAGCGCCCCCAACACTGCGGACGCCGTACCGATCCGCTGGCCGATCTCCCGCTCCCACTCACCATCACCCGCGAAAGAGACCCCAAGGTACTTAAACCCTCCACGCAGGGCAGCTGTTCCCCCTCACCTGGAGAGAACAATCCACCGTCTCCCTGGAGTGAACCATGACCTCAGATTTGGAGGTGCTGATCCTCATCCCGGCCGCTTTAAGCTCGGCATCACACCGTTCAAGTGCACGCTGGAGATCTCAGACTGACGAGGCAAAGAGGACAACATCATTCTCTCTATACCATGAAAGTCCCAAACAGGAGTGGAGACTAGACGCACCCTTGGCAGAGTCCGAGGGCGCGCAAGCGGTTCAGCATTAATTTTATTTAAAGAGGCGTAAAGCCGTTGTTTTTACATATATTGTACTGTACTCACCGCAGAGAACTGTAGCGACACGACCGCACTCTACGGCAGCTGGCGCCAGACTGTGCCACATGCCCTCCCGCATAGTCTCTTCCTTCTGATTGGCGTGCGTGTACGTCATGAGAAATACTGATGACGTGCGTGTACGTCATCTGAATTGGAAAGGGTTAATAATGGTCGAGGCACCTTGGAATGGGGAAAGTTGCTTTGTTTCTGCCCAATGATTGTTTGAGCATTGGAACATTCCTGACTTAGAATACTCTTGCACTCACAACGATGATTGCAATGTCCTGGTAAAATACATCGACACACCCTTTACATCCTTTTATTGTAACACGTCCGTAACCAGCACCAGGTGCTTTTCAGATTTTTACGTCACATCGTGGGTCCTCATTGGAGCATAGTGCACGTTTTGTATGTGTAAGTACGTTGAACTTCTTTCACACCATACATAGCCAACCGTGCCAATCGGAGGTGGTGCGGGGGGAAGGACAACAAACTAAACACAACAAGCAGTTCTAAAGAAATGAACTTTCAATCTAGATTTATAAGTATATTTTCTAATTGTTCACAAAAAATAATAACGCTACGTCATCATCATCATCACCAGTCACGATCTGTTCACTGCTGGATGAAGGCTTCCCTAAGTCCCCCCCGTCCCTCATCATCTCACAACGTAACGATGTCACGAGCTCCTCCATGTCAGCTCGTGACATTTTCTTTTCTCTCCATGGCGGTCGTCCTCTTGGGAACGTTGCCTCCATCAGATGCTGACGTGTCGTCAATAACGACTGTCGGCCGGCTTGACTCTCCTCAACCATCGATGTGTCTCCCGTATGTACGTGTCCTCTGATCCATGTGATCCTCTCTGCCCGTGCGATTCCAAGCATGCGACTCTCCACACTTCTCTTTGCACCCGTTTGAGCCTTTCTATTGTGTACGTACAGTCCGTTCTCCTGTAAAATCGCGTAACAATAAATAATATATAATAGAGGGTAAAGCACAGTCCGCGACGTGAGATGCGTACGCAGGCCGAACAAAGGCTGAGGTGCGTGGGTAGCATCTAGAAGCATCCAGCAGCATCCCACTGCCTTGTGTGATGATGATTATGCTACACCGAGGCAGCCGTTCGACCGCTTCTTCCTACTTGCACAACGTAGTTCCGGTCACTCGATCGCGTGATATCCAATTCGCGTTATGAAAACACGTGGCGCTATAGGAGAACAGACTGTGTAAATCTTGATTTGAAGTTTTCGTGACTGCAGGAATCCTTACTCTTTGGTCCTTTCGGTAAAGTCGTCTGCTGCGAGCAGCAACAATGTCTGCCCACGTGACTTTACCGAAAGGACCAAGGAGACTGTATATACGTTGAACTTCTTTTGCCACCGTACGTAGCCAACGTGCTGATGGTTTTCTTTGTCATTGTCAGTATTTGTGACCCTTGCTATAGCAGGGGATATGCAGCCACTGGTGCTTTGTTTATATTCATTACCGACATCAGTTTTCCAAAAGCACTCCTTACTTCTAGTTTTTCTCTCATCATTTACATTTTTTCTGGCTACAATAATTACCCTAAATGTGTGTATATATACCCTGATGCGTTTCCAGTTGCGTTCCTCCGATGAATATTTTCAGTTATTCCTATTCCTGCCAAACAAAAGGTCGAACACACACTTCACTCGGTGACATCATCGATTAAAGACAGCAGGGGATACAACACAACAGAGATTAACTACATGATGGTAAGCTCTGGGAGCGTTAGAGTAGCATAAGGAGATTGATGATTTGGCATTTTTTAAATATTATTGGTTTGAATGACATGCGACAAACACTCTTTGCAGACTGCGCAGCGTCTGGCTATGGGAACGGAGGCGGCCGAGTCAGAATTGGGGGCGCTAACGGTGGCCGTGAGATGTTAACTCCCTCTCCTGGTATGCAGGAGGTCGTGGGTTCGATCCCGACCCTGACGCCTATATATTTGGAAGTTGCGTGTCTCTCTACCCGTGGTCGCGTGGATTTTTCTCCAGGTCCTCCGGTTTTCCCCTCCACGTTTAGAATCAACGTCATGCGTTTAGACTATTTGGTTGCTATACATTTCCACGTGATAATCCACTTTGTTGAGCTGTCATTTGTGATAGCTAGGTGGCCTCTGAAAAAGAGCTATATAGCTAAGTGGTAAAAATTTAATATATTGCAAATTATATGACAAGTAATAAAAGGTGTTCCCCAAGTGAGGATAAAGAGACCGATTTAAGTTTCTTAAGAAGTGGTTCTGTGGTATCCTCTTTTGGGAGTGTTCTCTGATTCAGCATGGCCCACTACTAGCTAAGATAGTTTCCGAATAGGAATTAATTTGTGTCGTGCCGTGATACCGAAAGCAAGTTTAGAATATAACTGGGGGAAAAAGCGAGATATAAAACCATTTTCGGGTTTCACTTTGGGGTTAAATATCCATTCGTTCACCGATATCACCATCACAAGCTTCAGCCGTTACTGATATCACTTCCCATGGGCTTCTTGTCGTCCTTACACGTGATCACTTCTCAAAATGGTCTCCCCACATTTCCGCACTGAACATTGGGGGAATCAAGGCAGGTTACTCGGCTTCATTTTCATACCAACATTTCACCCCATGCTGCACACTACTTTTTCTAGTTTTGGGTAACCAGATATTTAATATACAAGTTTCATGTATCACTTGTGGTCAGGTGGACAGAATCTCTTGAATTCCTGAAAATATCGCTCTTCTGGATTTGTGTCACGTGGTCTCAATGACCTTACGACCTGTGATGTCAGCGACCTTTCTACTCGATGTTTCTGACTGCAGACGCCGGTACGGCCACTCAGTTCGAGTGTTAACAGGCTGCCTCAAACCGGTTTGTAAGAAAAGTGTGAACGTGAAACCAGTTTGACAATGTTTACAAGCACCATCATGTTTTTATAACGGCAGCAGTCTACATACGCTCCTCAAGAATAATACGTGAACCCCATCCGGTGCCTGACACCCAACAACAAACAACAACAACCGCCATTCGTCACGAAGTGGCGGTGATGTCACCACGGCGCTTGTGCCAGGCTAGATACACTTTTAGGCCACGTGAAGTGTCGAATGCCGGCTGGCAGGAGGGTCACAGGACGGACCCAGCAGGTGCCATGGGCTTGACTGAGTTGGCATTGCTGCACGAAGTCAGTCAAACCCATGGCTAACACCCACAAACCTAAAACACACGCAACCACCCCAAGGGCCTCATCACAAGACACTGCAGCTCCCATCACGTGGCCTCCCAGAGCTCATCTTTCTTTTTTCTGGCTCCTTTCCCAGAAGGGTTTCCTTTAGGCTCCTGGCACCGTGGTGATTTTGGGTGCCTGGACCCTTAAAAGTTGTTAATTTGAATGGATTTTTCTCAACTCCAGGGAACGCTTGCGGAAAACCTGCCGCGGTACAGGGCGAAGTGTCAGAACGCTCACAGAGGGAGGAGACGCGATGGCTTCTGTTCGGGCCCATCCAGGCAGAAAGCGCATGCTAGTTGGAGGCAGACGCACTCGGTGGGTTGCCCACGGCGCCAGCCCTCTGGCGCCGCTCGTCCCGGGTGGCGATACCCCGCCGGTCCCAGGTGGCACACCGCCGGTGCCAGGTGGCACACCGCCGGTGCCAGGTGGCACAGCGCCGGTGCCAGGTGGAACACCGCCGGTGCCAGGTGGCACACCGCCGGTGCCAGGTGGAACACCGCCGGTGCCAGGTGGAACACCGCCGGTCTGGGCCTCGCACTCACGGACGTCCCCGCGATGGCTCCCGGCCTTGAGCCGTTACTGCCGGTGTTGTGTGTGTGGGTGAGCGTGTGGATGAGCGTGTGGGTGAGCGTGTGGGTGAGCGTGTGGGTGAGCGTGTGGTGAGCGGCGGCGCAGCGGTTAGCGCTACGAACCCGACGACACGGGTTAGATTCCCGCTCACGGCCAACACCAGTGACGATTATCTGAACCGGTCGTGGGCCTCTCCTAGGTCGACTCGACCGCAAATGAGTACCTGGTGCGGTGTGTAAACATTGCCACTGGGGACACAAAGGCGGCCGGGGGTGGTGTTGGCCATCGACTCCCTCGCGCGTCGTGCCGGCCTCCATAGGTGCTCGCTAACAGCACTTGCCCCAGCAGTCTGTTACAGGCTCTTTGTCTTTGTGTAGAAATCTTAGGTGGCAGGCACCAGGTCGCGTTCCAGTGTTTTCGAGAGGTGTTGCTGATGTGGCCGACGACGTCAACATCGGCGTACACCGAGATCCTGGAGCTCCGCTGTGTCAAATGTTCTGTCGTCTGATCTTTCATCCTGGGCCCTTTGTTTCATCTTGGGTTTTTGCATAAAAAAACACCTAACATGAACGTGCAGCAGCAATACCATGGTGAGACAAGAGCACCCCCCCCCCCTCTGCAAATGAACTATTTGCAGCATTATGGTGCTATAGTGTGTAAACGTGTGTAAACTCAAGCAAACGGAATGCTATTTTGTAAACGTGCCATGCGTTATCAGCTTGGGCTACCCTCTGTATGAAGATCTTTTATATAAGGCAAAGGGGCCTTTCAAACAAAGCCTTAGGGGTGGTGGGAACAGCTCTGCCTTGCGTACATGGCCTGTTCTACGAAACAAAGTATCTCCGGATACGCAGTGTTGAGAGTGTAATGTAGCTGACCTGTGTAAATATATTTAAATACGAAGCGGCAGCATTGTGTGTCGGCTGCCTGCCGTGGAAGAGAGCTGCCCCGCTTGTTAACTCTGTTCATTCGTAGAGACGTATTTTGCACTGCTGACTCGGATGTGTACTTCAAGGAAGTCTGGAGTCCTTTGTCATTTAGTATTCAGTGTTTTAAAAAAAGTGATATTCCGTGGGTGATGATGACTCCAGCACGTGCTTCACATACGTAAAATAAAATAGAATTTACCGCGTAACTAACTTTTACCATATCGTTTTTTTTTACCAGTGCCCGCATTTACATTGCACCACCAAATGACATCGATGGCTGAATTTTACCAGAGAATTGCACTGTAGCTCCCGAAGCCAAGAACATTTCATCCCGTTCGTCATCGGAGGAAGTCGGAACCCCGGAGAGTGGTTCAGAAAATATATATTCTCGTAATTTATGTATTGCTTTGTACTTTTCTAAAATTGGCCCTGATGCTAGCAAACAGCAGCTTATACTCTCGCAAAGAGGGCCACAGGAACATGATCTTTAAGGTCTACATGTAGTGAGGTGAGAGAACACGCGTCTTTTTGTTGTCAGCTGTCTGAAGCATTGTGTACAAAACATGATATACAGCTGAATAAATTGATAAACATTTAAGTTTCACATTATCCGCATGTGTAACCACAGATACCCTCTAGTTGCATGAGCAATGAGGGCTGACATGAACGGCGCAACCATTGGAATGCTTATAGCTAGTAACTGCTGTGCTCGTATCAAACTAAAATAAGACACAAACGTACCTATCATACTTTGGGAAGGACATTTCGCGCGCAGCATAAAGTTCTCACGCAAGAGACCTCCCACGGCCTTTCAAGATCTGACAACCCCAACTCCACGCTGGTGCCAAAGTATAAACCAAGCAACCAACTCTGAACAGGGGAAACCATCCCCCAGGGAGTGGTAGTCGGTACCTGACGGGGCTCTGTCAATAAACTAAGTGACGTTCTTTTTATTTTACCAGGTAAGGCCCACTGAGCTATCCTAGCTATCACAAATGACTCTCAACGGAGCGGCTTATGTGGACATTTATGGAAGCCAATTACTCTCAACGCGCTTTGTTGATTCGAAATGTGGAAGGAAAAACCAGAGGACCCCGAGAATAATCCACACGACCACGGGGAGAATATGCAAACTCCAAATATACAGGCGTCGGGGTCGGGATCGAACCCACATTCTCCTGTTTCTACTCATGGGTGACAGTTCATATGGCAATTTAAGACCGTTCGTCTTGAAATATTCTTAACATGTCTACCATGTGCGTAGTACAGTCTCCAACTATTATTCAATCAAATATGTTTTGGCCTCTCTCTCTGCTTTTAAGAAGGACCATTGGCCAAACCACTGGCGATTATGTACTCATTCTATTTCCCTTTGAGGGCAGTGTTGACGAACGTGTTGCCTCTGTCTATGCAGTCTCACACCTGGCACTGGTTCCGCTGATTGTTCCTGTCTGGCTTGTGCCGTAGGCATGGCAGGCGTAGGGAATTGATTGGGAAGGTATGTATGTTAAACTATTTAAAACTTTTATTTTACCAGGTAAGGCCTATTGAGCTATGTATATTTCCTTTTCAGAAGCAACCTGCCCACAAATGAAAGCTCAACGAAGTGGATTATCACGTGGAAATTTATAGTGTGAGGGTCGCTGGCCCCCGAGATCCCTCCCTCTGTACCGCTAACGGCCGGGTTAACCTCATTATTAACCTCATTACTCGCCCCCTCGCTACTAGGCGAACCGCTGTTGGGTTCCTCACCCATGGTGTGGGAGCCGTCGCGCGAGGATTCCCCTCCACCGCGGGTCCACGTAGCAGGCATGGTTAATTACGTACGCGCACACCCACACACAGCTCTGCGCGGCACTCACTCAATACAGACCACTCACGTTAGGATCGCGCACCTGTATTATACACGTAGTGAACGTGCGCGCACACACGCATACAGCTCCACACGCGATACCCACTCTTGCGCCGCTCTGCGCAGCGCTCGCCGCCTGCTGGCCGCTCACGTTATGATCGCGCACCTGGGGTACGCCGATTACGCACGCCGCGAGCTTACGCACACACAGTACCACACGCGTTCCCACACGCTCACACTGCACGACAAGATCACGCGAGACCACGCTTCGCTATTAATGATTTATTACCTGGTAACTAATGTTGAATCAGTGAGTCGACGAGGCTGGCCTATTCCACTAAACCGGCACCTATTCCCTATTTATCGGCTATTATCCTACTTCACCTCCCCACTCACTGTTTGGCGCCCGCGGAGGTTCGCTGCTCCCTGCGCTAACAACGTACCTCGATGCGTCTCACGGACGTCCGGGTCACTGGCTGGAGCTGCTGCTGGTCCGCTGGCCTGGAGAGAAGAGAGCGATTTCCCCTCTGCGCCCCTCTATTTATCCTCCCTACCTCAAAGGGGATGCTGCGCTGAACAATGGGCTCGTGCACCTCGAGCCCCCGCACGGCAGTTCCGGGCGCTTTTGATCTGCTAATCAGTGAGCGGCGTTGGCGGCGTACATCCTAATTAATCCCTTACCCTTCCTAACAATGGGGCCTGCGCGCTCAAGCGTAATTATCCCAACCCTCCATGACTATGCGCAACAGCTCCTGCGGTCCCGCTATTCATGCTGTCCCGTCCCTCCCCTGCTTGCCCCGTCGACCCGTGGGGGTGTGTGTGGGGGGAAATGCGCCTCAACCGCGGTGGCCGAATGCCCCATGCCGCGACCACACCATATTAAGGCTGGTCGCAGCGCCGCGGCGCAACGTAGCACGGGGGAGGTCGTCCAATTCCCTGATCGCCGGAAACCGTGAGAGTTAACCCCGATAAGGGTTTCTCGGATAAAAACCGGTCGGCCAGGTGACCTCCCCTCGGAGCTCTATGGGGGGGGGGGGGAAATGCGTGCGGGTGTGTTCGTGTGAGGTGAGGTGAGGGGGACGCGGGGTTGGCTCCGTTGCTTGGTGGTGGCGAGGTCGGGGATTTGGGCGCCTGCCGAACGGCTTCGTGGCGGCGGCATCACAATAGCAGCCAAATACTCAAAACGCATTTTTCCCAATGTGGGGAGAAAACCAAAAGGATTCGAAGAAAAAATCCACACCACCACGGGGAGAGAGACACGCAAACTCCAAATATACAGGTAGTGCTCTATTTACGATGGAGATGCGTTACGAAGACCCCGTCGTAAGTAAAAAATATCGTAAGTCGAAGATGGCCTCAGCCTACCCAGGAGTCTTAAAGAATGGTGACAATTTAGCAAAACATAGCCATTTACAGTACCGTACTGTATAAACTATATACTGTATGTATTTATTAATTACAATACTGTATTGCACAGTAAAATGTAAAGTAAACAACAAGGTACATTCTTAGCCTACCTATATGAACTGCAATTTAATAGAAAGTTTCTTCAGGATACAATCCTATCTGCTATAAAAACTTTTAACATGCATTGAACGTATCGTAACGTATCATATTGTACTGTACTCACCAAGATTCTGTCCGTCGTATCGCCATCGTAAGATCGGAATATCTTAAGTCGGAAACATCGTAACTCGGGGACTATCTGTATACAGCAGGCATCAGGGTTTGGATCGAACCCATGACATCCTGTATACCATGCGAGGTAGTTAACATCCCAATGTGTTGAACTTCTTTTCCACCATACGTAGTCGACCGTGCTAATCGGAGGTTGGGCGGGCGGGGGAGATGCAGGGGCGACATTCCCAAAATTGAAACTTTTTTAAAAAATAGAGCCCTACATAAATAACAATAATGAAACCCACGTCACGAATTTTCAATAAAATACAAACATTCAGATTGGGCAATCGCTCCCATGGCCTCGCCTCCCACCCCGGACCCCCCCCCCCCACCCCACCCGGCTTGTGCAGACACGGCAGCCCCCCGTTGGGTGGGGGTCCCGACTGGCGGCGTCGCTCTCCACACCTGCGCGTCGTCGGGGGCGCCCACGCGCGCGCTCCACGCGTGCCCGCGCACGCCCGAGTGCGCGGGCACGCGGGAGGCGCGCGCGTGGCCGCAGCGTCCGGCCGTGGGAACGGAGGTGGCCGAGTTCGAATTGGGGGCGCTAACGGTGGCAGCGAGAAGTTAACTCCCGCGCCTGGTATATACAGGGGGAGGTCGTGGGTTCGAGCCCACCACTGACACTGCCTGCTCTATATTTGGGGTCTGCGTGTCTCTCTCCCCTTGGTAGCGTGGATTCTTCTCCAGGTCCTTCGGTTTTTTTACTCCACATTTTGCAACGTGCGTTTAGAGTATTTAGCTGCTCAGATTAACGCGTAGGCTTTCACGACCAATATAATCCATAAATCCACAATACAAGTTTTTTGGGTTAGATCGCGTAAATATTTTAACAGGAAAACAAATATTGACGTGATCTAACCAGGGCCGGATTAAGGCACGGGGCTTTAGGTGCTGGAAGCCCAGGGACCTTGGCCAGCTGGAGGGCCTCCAGAGATGAAGTGAAAAGTTGCTTCATTTGTGAATGCTGAATTTTATTTGTTTTTATCTTTGTAAAAATTCATTTTGTTTTCCTTTTGAAAATATTACTGGAGGCCTCAGTACCAGTAGCCCAGGGGCCTACGAAATCGTAATCCGGCCCTGGATCTAACCCAAAAACCTGTATTATGGATATTTAGCTGCTATAAATTTCCGCACGATAAGCCACTTCGTTGAGGCATCATTGGCGATAGCCAGGTCGCTTCTGAGATAGAGCTCCACAACTCCGTGGGCCTTACCTAGTAAAATAACGAATAGTTGTACTTTAGTGTGCATGGGTTTGAACCCGCTGCGTGTCGTTCGCCACGATGTCCCAACGTTTCGCTCCGCTTGGGAGCAATATTGGTAATTCACCTCATCTTGGAGCACGCGCACGCGCGTGACAGAGATATAGAGAGAAACAGAGATAGCGACTTTTGACTTTTAAACAACTTTTATTGCCGCCAGCAGCAACAGCACTGGAGGCGATTCTGATACGAAATACAGTCACCAGCAAACAAATAACAAACACTATAAATCCACGCATTGTGGCGCTAAATGCGCCGTGCACAACACAAAAGAAAAGTCAAGTGGTGGTGGTCGTCGTGCACGCCACGGCGATGAGCGAATGCTTCAGAAGGTGAAGATGAGGGTGCCGTCCACGCTGGTACAGAGGGCTTTTCCGCCCCCCCAGCGTTCGAGGAAGACACGCACATCACCGGCATGCGTGTGCCAGCGGCAGCATAAGTACTGTATTACTCCCAGCGAGATTCAGTTGAGCCACACGGCCGATGGCAACGTGCTGTGTGCCACCGCACCGTTTGGCTATGGGAGACTTGTACATTTGTTTCCATGGGGGAGCGGCCGCAATGAGGGGAGAGAAATGGTCCCTCCATTTTGTGTCCGGTAGGTTGGCCAGGTCCCGGGAATGCAGCGCCTTTACACAGCACGTGTTTGTTCGGGGCGCTCTTCAGGGGCACGTTCCTGCAGCCTCGGAGCTTCAGTAGCTTGCCGGAGTCGC